GGTGAGTGCCGGCCGGCGGCGGTGAGAGGCGCGGGAATGAGCGTGCTGGGGCGGGCTCCTGCGCGGCCCCTCACGTGGCTCGGTCGCCGCCGCCCCGGCAAGTGACCCGGGCTCCCCGCGGGCTCGGGCCTCGCGTCTCCCGAGTGTGGGGGCCGGACTGGCTCGTTTGTGAAGTGACTTTCAGGCCCCTGCTCGGCCTCACGCACGTGCCGCGAGGAGCAGGGCAGCGCCGCGCCGCGCCGCGGTAGAGGGAAAGCGGGCGCCGCCGTGCGACGTGCTGGCGCGGGACCCGCGGGGCTGCCAGGTGTGGCGAGCCGAGAACAGCTGTAAAGCGAGCGCAGCAACTCCCGCTCGTCTCGTACCTGTCTCTGATTTGTAGGCGTAGCAGGGCCCTACGGGATTCATCCCATGCTGAAGCCTTGATTGTGTGAAAACGGGAAGCGGGAAATGAATTTAGGTCCATGAATTTAGGGTGGCTTAAGTCCCAGCCGGGATGGGAGAGCTCTGCTCGCTTGTGGGCAGGGGAGGTTCTCCTTTCTGACCCTCGGTGCTTGTTTGGGAATTAAATAACTGCCTTTTTTCCAGGTCAAAATAGGTTTGTTGAGTTCTTTTTTAGCTTCCGTTACATTTCATGACGGCCTCTTGAGGTTGAAGTGCTAACCAGGACTGCGCTGAGAGATACTGTGCCGCGTTGACTCGCGTTTTTTAGCCAAATGTGAGAAGAGAAAAGGCTGCCAGTGTCTCAGTTGTCTTGTACAAGTCACTAAATAGCAGTGGAGCGTGCTGTGCTTGGGAAAAGCTCATTTGTAATTCTCACGCCCTGTTCCTTAGATACAGTCTGGGGCACAGAGACAGACCAAAGGAAACACTACTCTTTTCTCCTGATATTTGGTAGGCTTTACAAGGGAACAGGATCCTGTTATCATTGAAATAATGGCTGTATCTCATACGCAACTCTAACTACTGCCACCATAATCTGCACAAGTCCTGGAGTTGTCTTTCCCCTGCCCCTTAAGTTGGGATCCCTGGATAGGCAAAGCACTGGTCGACCACCCCAGGCAGTTGTACTGGGGTGAATGCTCAGTCCTTGTCTGGGTCTGACCTCTTGTTTGCTTTCATTTCTTTAGGTCATTTGGGATAGGTGGAAACCTGTCTTTTTTTTTTTTTTTCTTTTTGTCCATCTAAAAGTCAGGAGGGAAAGAGCCTGAAGCCAGTGAAGTATTCTTCCTTATTCCTTTTGTACAAGGAAATACCTTGGCTGGAGGCTCCTCTCTTTCCCCATGTGCTGGGGGACAACTGAGGGGTAAAAGTGACTTGGGAATCTCCTGTGTTCTTTCTAGGTGATTGCTAGGCCTGTTTGTGATTTACTTTCCTCCAAGCATCATGCGTGGAGCTGTCTCACTCAGTAAGTGTGTGCAGACTGCAGCACCGGGTCCTTCTGGTTAAATAACCCTGTAGATTAGATTCTGCATTTAGGTTCAGACCTTTACTGTTGCTGGTTCCTGTTGCTGCAGTTGGGAACAGAGCAAGACTGGCAGTGTTCAAGTTTGAACATAGTTTGGTGGGAACAATGTAATGTGTGAACTGAGTAAGCTTCCTCTCATCCCTCAGTCCTCACAAATGAGGAAATGTTTTTGCGGTTTAGGAGGTTGCATTCTTGGCAACTGATAGGAAATAATGGGCGTGAATGGTGAGTGCTGCAGGAGGCACGCTGAACAAAACCGTTCCATGGGAAAGCAGTTCCCGGAAGGAGGCATGTCCTTTAGCTCTGAGAGCAGAGGCCAGATTTACCTGATGGATAAAGAGCTCTCAAAAGAGGCTATGTCTTTCCTGAGAGAACAATCTAGGTTTTGAAAGTACAGCTTACAGAGGCTGATAGTTTAGAAGATGTCTCCCCATTTGGTGGCAAGGTAGGCAACTCCTGTATTCATAAATGCTGATCCAGTCAGTACTTAAGTGGCAATATATCTTGTATGAGAGCATATTGTATAAGGAACTGATGCAATGCTACCTTTTTACTACTGAGTTTTACAACTCTCTTGTCTATTAGAGGAGGAGCTGGAGCACTATTAACAAATAAGCATTTGTTTATGATCAAATGTTTCTCACGATTTAAAGGTGTTGATTTAAAAGAAAGTAAACTTTACTTTTCTTTATGCAGATGCACTGTTTACAAGGGAGAAGTTCATTTCTATCATTTCCAAAACTACGTAGTATATTTTGGAGGTAAGTTGAAAATCCGGACTTCTGTAACTGCTTAAGTAGATTAAGAAACAATTATTGGGTGGATTGCATAATTGAAGTTGTGGCTTTTGAATTTGAACTGTCAAATGAGATGGTTCCACATAATATCTAATAGACCAGTTTAACATAAATCATTTAATACTTTATGTTGCCATGGCAAGGAATTAGTCCTAGATGCTCTCGCTATGGAAATCAATGTACAGAAATGCCCAGAAGGTCACTTTGAAATAATGGGGACACAATAAGGTGGTATAACCCTCCCAGCAAGCAGTGCCCAGTAGAGAAATGTAGTTGTGCCTCATGAACAGGATCCTGGTTTTCTCTGTTTAAAAATCCAGAATCCTCTGACGTAAACAAAAAAATCCCAAATTCTGTGATTAAAAACCCCAAAATTCACGTCTTTCCATGATTAAAATGAAACATCACTATATGTATATCTCTATGTAGATATCGATATATATCAGTTGAACACAACATTTTATCGATATATTTGCAATTCTAAAGCCATTTGGAAGCCTGCCAGTGCTTTGATCATTATAACAGAATAAATTCTAAATAAAAATATTTTGGCATTTGATTTTGTTTCTTTTTATCATAGAAAATCAGAGCTCCTCCTGTGCCCTTTTCTCATCAAGACATGGGTCCAGCTGCAGCTGTGTCCTGTCCTGTCCCCCCCCCCCC